GTACTCATTGGCTCCGGAGTCAGAGCTGTCCTAAACAACCCGATTGTAAGCATTACTTCCCGATATATTTGATTGATTTATGTATTCATTTAGGGAATAGTATTTCAAAGTGATATTTAATGGTTTTGAATATTATTTGTCGTGTTTTTTGCGGGTATTTTTCGCTTAATTTAGTTTTTATTGTGTTTTTTGTTTTCATTTATTTTGTTTTGTTTTTATAAATGAATAGATTTTTCGATATTTTGTGATTTATATTGTGTTTTAAGGGCTATTAGCGAGCGTTTGGGAACTTTTTTGATTTATAAGTATTTTTGCTTTTATTTATTATTTTTCGCAGTTTTATTGAAATGAAAATCTATGCAAAACTGTATATTTTGTGTACATTTTGTTCGCACAAAATATTAATGAGATTTTTGAGTTATTTTTATTCATTTTGATATTTTGAATATTAAATGTCAGTTCCGTCTATAATAGTTACGTAATAGAAATTTAATTAAATATTGATTTTTGTTGCGATTTTCAATATCGAAAATTGTATTTAATTTCAAAATATATTTGTACAGTATATACAAAAGGGCATTCATTACATAAAGGTTGTTATTTTTATAAATAATTTGTTTTCCATTGAAAACACATGAATTGAATTGAGTTTAGAATTTAATGGCATTTATGTGGGATTTGATATCTCTATGGGTTTTCAGTGAATAGCGATTCAGAGAAAATTGAGTTTGGTTTTGATATTTTACACAAAAGTTTTTCGGCGAAATTCATTGAAGTCTTAAAAATGATTTTAAGAAATGATTTTCGCGTCCCTTTTGAAGCAAAACCTTACAAATAGTATTTTATTTCATTAAAAAACAAATAAAATAAAAGTTGATTTTAAAAGTTTTCAGATTTTAAACGATAGACTATATAATCATAGTCCGATAATTAGTTTTTAATTAACTATAAAATAGTAATTAACTTAATGAGTGTTAGTGTAAGGGTATTGGTATGCGTTGTTGTTGTGATTCAGTAGTTTATGGATACAGTAAACTGGGTTTTAATGTTTATTATAATGATGTCGAAAGTTTTGAATATATTAATGGAAAAGTTATGACAAGTTTTAAATAACTACTTATTAAAAATGTTAGGAATTCCGTAGAGATTAATACAGTATAAACATATCGACTTAAATGTCAAATGACTATCCATTTAATGAGCACTGAATTAGTTAGTGATTTGTGTGCATTACTAATATGTATGTCTCGGTGGACAGGCATGTATTTACACGAAATGGCTGAACCCGAGGCCTCGTTCACCAAAGAGGAGATGTCAATAGGAAAGCACACGGAATACGAGAAGCGATTGATTCAACACTATTGGGATCTATTGGTGAAGGAGAGGGCAGAGAAGAGCAACCGAAAGAACACCCAAAAGGACGTGGAGTTGAATGGAGAGCACCAGCACTCGCACCCGAAGGTCGAGAGCAAACACATTGTGATTAAGAACCCGAAGCAGACAATGGCTAACCATAAGAACCACAAAAACGCGAGTAATGTGTTCAACGGCGAGACCAATGGTTTTGGCGATGAGTGCAGTAATGATTCGGTAATTGTTTTTGAGTTTTGTTTTGTTTGCATTAGTTTTTGTTGTGTTTTTTGTGAATACTTTTCTTATTGAATGTAATGTTTTTTGTTTGAAATTTCTTTTTCTTTAGATTTTAAAGCGCTTTTAATAATAGACACACACTTTTAAGCCAGTCATGCAGTCATTAATAGAGAGTTATTGTCGAGTAATTTATGAGCAATTTTTGGACACTTTTTCGCACAATTTTTTGTCGCTTTTTATAGTATTATTTATTTATTTAATTTTTGTTTTTTAAAAACAAATTTTTTTCAACTCATATTAAAATTGTTTTAATAGCTTTTGTAACCGAAATAGACACAAATTCTATGTTTGTTTTTCTATAAACAAAACTCAAATGATTTGCATGTCTTATGAATAAGTTTTTGATACAAAAATATATGAGAAGTTTTTCTATGAAATACGAAATTGAAACACTAATAAAATTAAATCAAAACACAAATGTTTAGTAAACTATTCATTGAATTTTTAAAGCGTTTAATCTCTATATTAAGTATTTATTAAATATAATACTAATCGTTGTTTTTCTGCGAATTGACTGAACAGGTGGTGAACGGGGAGAGCGGCGACAGTGCAGTACAATCGGCGTCACCGGTAATCCAGTGCCGATGGGGAACGCCTACAACCCGTATCTCATCGAACTGTTCATCAAACTCGGAGTCCAATAGTTTGAGTAATAGCTTGAGTTCAACGCCGAACCAAACGTCAGGAGCCGCACAACCGTCTCAACCACAGCCACAACAACAACAACCACAGCACCCGTCGCCACAGGAGGCGCTCGTACATCAACTACAACACGGCGTACGGCTGTCACCCGGCATTACGCACCGAATACTGGGCCAGACGTACGTGAAAAGCGGTGATAATCTGTTGAATGGCATCGACTCAGACAACGCAGTGGACGCACAGCTCATGAAACGGAATGGTCTGACGAATGGTATGGACGGCGAGGGCGACAGCAGTGGCGACGACATGACTGCCGACGATGACGACGGCCTCGACTTCGATCCCATATCGATATCGAGCCGCGGATTGCAAGACCTGTTAAGAGACTCATCGGTGATGAGCACACACTCTGTCGTGAATACCGTGTTCTCCAACCAAACGCACGACATGTATGTGAATCGACTCGCGAAACACCATTCGTACGAAATACCGACACAAATGGTGACATCCAATCAAAAAGCAAATGAATATCAAAACGGTTTTGTAGTGAATAATAGACAGCAAATGATGAATGTGTTCAACAATCAGATGTCGGGCCCACAGCAGCAGCACCTCCTCAGCCAACACCAGATCCATAGCCAACAGCACCCACAGCAACAACCCTCTCCTCAATGGCAAACACAACAACAGAACTCTTTAAGACAACTCTTGCCTAATGTTAACATAGCGTTTAGGCATCAAAACACCGGTTTGGACGGCACCGGTGGCAATGGGTTCTTAAATGGTTTTACCGGTAATTGTAATACAAATTCACAACAAATGATCCCAAATATAAGGTAAGCATTAATGCATTCATTGTTTTAATTAAGACTTATTTTAATGAATTTATTATCCTTATGAATTCATAGACAACAGAGTATAGGACACCAAATGGGTGGTCCGTCATTAATGAGTAGCCATCCCGTGATGGCCACGAATAATGGCGGACCTACCGGTGCCACAGCAGGCAATGGAGTCAACGTTTTGCCACATTTTTGGAGTCAATCCCAACAACAACAGCAACAGAGAGAACATATGCTTCGACTACAGCAACAGCAACAACAACATCAGATACCAGTGCATAGACAACACCCCTTCCACCACAACCAGAGGTTATATATGGGTCCACCCGTGGCTCAGCAGATGTCGGCGCCGGTGCCCACCGCTGCCGGTGGCCGACAGCCGCCGCCCGGATTTTAGACCACAACTCAAAAACATGTCTTTCTCTACTGTACACAACCACTCGACACATGTATCCGACAAACAGTTGATTATAATTACGGTATTATTATATTATATAAACGAAACACAAAATTATGATTTTGAGAGAAATACCACATATTTTTCGCTCAATTCTCGTGATTTTGTCATAAAAATGTGAAATCAAAATGAGTTTTAAGCAAATAATAGTTAATTCAATAATTTTAAAGTAAATAATTGTCAAGTTTTTTAAAAACGCGGAGAGAAATGCTTTTTTCATAAATTAATGGCACAAAACAAATCAAGTTTTTATTACAAATTATAGTCGAAAGAGATTTTTCCAATAGTTTCAGAGAAAATAAAATAATTAATGTTTAAATCGATTGTTATATCGATTGGAAACACAACTAAATTATTAATGATTTAATCGCAAATCCATTTGAAATACCAAAATGAAAGCAAAGTTTTTTAAATTATTTCATAAAACATTTCAAATAAATTGAGTGTTTTTTTAATGAGAACATTTAATAGAGTTTTACGAGTGGTTTAAAATACTTTTCACACATTTATTATGATTTGAATTACGAAAACAATGATTTATTTATAAAAATAATGCTGAGAAAAAAGTCGACCAAATATTTATAGAAATTTTAATTAAGTACACATTTTTTAAAATCAAACATAAATACAATTATTTATTAATTATTTGATTAAATATTATTTAATTACAATTATATTATTCATAAATTATTGAAAACAAACAAATGATTTAAAAATTTAAAAACACTTTATTTTGAAAACTTAAATCTCTGTCTTTTTGAAAACAAATATTGTATAGAATTTGAAAAACAATGTAAATAATGAGAAGACATGTAATAATAATAATAAGTTATGTAATGTTTATGAATTATAGTTATGATAACTGAGAGAAACCTCTGTTTGCGACGACAGACACAAAACGCATTGAAATTTGGATAAAAAGTTAAATTTAATAATAAATCTCTTCTTATATTACTATCACTTCTCTCTCTAATGGATTGGAATTTTGTTTTTACTTTTCATTATTATTATTGAATTATAAGATATTAATGAATATTATTATAAATAATATATAAATAATGATTATTATTATTAATATTAATATTTGAAGCAAACAAATAAATCATTGAATCAAATGAATGATTAAATCCAGTGTTGAATTTATTCAAT